CTGATGTAGTGAAATGGGAGCCATGTCATCTGCATATATAATGAATTTACTGGTGTATATCAATGTTGGTGGTTCTGTGTTGTTTGTCAAGGCGGTCTTTAAAATCATTAATGAAAATATTAAATAATGTTGGACTAATTACACAGCCTTGTTACACCCCCTTTGTAACATCAAAACTCTGGGTAATTAAATTTGATATTTTTATATGTGCTTTAGTATTAGAGTACATATTTTTAATGAGACGGTAAACCCTTCCATTGATATTATGTTTAAGAAGTTTGTAAAAAAGTCCTATTCTCCAAATTGAATCAAAAGCTTTTGCAAAATCAACAAAACATACAAAAAGTTTCTTTTTCTTACATAATTGTTTTGAAATTAGAGTTTTTAAGACAAAAATATGATCAATAGTATGATGGTTCTTTCTAAAACCAGCTTGGTTATTATAGATTAGTTTGTTCTCTTCAATATAGTTATTAAGACGAGAATTTATTATGCTACAAAACAGTTTACCAATACAACTAGACACAGATATTCCTCTGTAGTTTTGGGGATCATGTTTGTCACCTTTTTTATATAAATGTGTAATTATACTGGTATTCCAAATATCCAGAAATATTGAAGATTCATGAATTAAATTAAATAATTTAAGGTAGCGAGACTATTATTTGTGTTGAAAATTCCGATTTTCACATTTATTTATTAATTGATGAAATGCACTATAAACTTTCATGTGATAAATCAACATAACATAGAATGTCATGTAAGTTGGTTAAAATGTAGATTTTCTGAAGGGAAGCAAGGCAGCCTCAGAAGTGTTTTCCAAAATCAACAACACAGGTTTAATCTGTGTGCCTATAAGTTTCAAAGATAAACTCAAGACAAAGCAATGTTAGGATGTGTTATCAGTAGCTATCTGACACACAATGAGTGTTTCCAAACATTTGAGTGGTTTGTCTCCGCCCCTGTTTGTTTCACAGATTAGTCATTTGCATATGAATGTTTCAGACACAAGGTCACACAGCCACTGAAAAAAAATCATTGATTTTGGTGTTTTCATATGCCGAATTTATCCAATTCCCATATTTTTTTGGTTTCCAATAGCCTTACACATTTGGATGTCCCTACACATGTTAAAGCAGACCTTGATGGGAAAACAAATTGATTGTGCCGATAAACAAGCTTGAAAATATTTGCTGCTACTTCATGGACGTTTTCTAGGAGTTTATGTTTTTCAAAATACAAGGTCTTTAACAAAAAATAACGCATACTTATTGTCGTCGGATTAACACCAAATTTTCACGGCTTTGAGGTGACAGTGAGAGGAACTTGAATGTGTCCAGACAAACTATTTCATCGATTATTTACCAACGAGTTGTGGTTTGAGTTGGGGCAATGCGACTAAACAGTAATTGAAATTCAGCACACTGTTTTTTTAAAACGCGTTGCTTGCATAAAACTGACCAGACACATTCAATTAACCAGACTATTGAAGAACTAGAAAAAGTGAAAAAAATACTTCTTATCGCCACCATAAATGCGTAATTATTTTTTTTGCAGAAAAAGTAATTTTTCACCTTTGATTGAGTAACGGGTCATAGAATGCAGATACGGGCATGGCAAACACACCTTTGTAAAGCTTGAAGTCTGGCGATTCTAAAAATATATACTTTCCTGGGTCTATTTGTAGTCATTTGGTCACAATTAGAAGATGAAAACAAGCATGCAAATAATAGTCCCGCTACCTTAAAATGAGTAGTATTTTCACTGCTCAACTTGTTACCATTTGTGATGTATTTTTACCCCCCCCCCCCCCCAAAAAAAAAAAAAAATTCCCCGGACACATGTTTTTTGGGCAGGTGTGTGAAATGAGAAAGAGTGAATTTTTTTTGGTCTGCATCTAAGGGCAAAGATATGTTACTGTATTTAGCAATATTTTGATGAATGCATAATTATGTATGTCAAAGGCTTAAGAAATGTTTCTTATTTATTTCAGGTTACTTTTTGGACGGTCTCTGGGAATGAGATATTTAATGTAGATGTCCTACAAGACTCAGAAGGCATGGAGACTGAAAAAACCACCAATAATGAAAAATCCATTGACAATAATGATATAACTGAGAACTCCAAAGACAATAATGCTACACCCGAGAAATCCAATGACAATAATAATATGCCTGAGAAACCAGATGATTCACAGTCTTCAGAAAAGGACAATACACAATCTGAAGATGTCCTGGAGGAAAATATGGATCCACATGTACGCGATAGTACACCAGAAACCTTAAGTGCAGATGAATCAGACTGTAATAATGTGTCACCTGTTGGTCTTCTGCAGAGTAAATCAAGTCCTAATTTCTCTATTTATAAAAAGGACCCAGCTGTAAAGGCAGTCAAACAATCTAGACTCGATGCTATCAGTCAGAGGCTAACACAGCTGCAGTCTGGAGAGAAAAAACAGCCTGAGGAAAGTGAAAACTTCAAAGTTCCCTCAGATCTACCTCCTGGTACAATAGTAGTAGAGCCAGCTGAGGTTCCAATGGATATGGATCAGGGAAGACCTTTATCTGGGAACTCAAAGATTGATGTTTCTGTTACTCCCAGTTTAAATGCTTCGAATGTTGATGGTGGAAATACTGATAAAAATGCTGATTCAGTTGTGAATGATTCTGTGAGTAAGGAAACTGATAAAAGTGAACAGGAAACTAGTAAGCACGATAATACTGTAAAAGACAACCAGGTCACAGAAAAAGAAATAATCAGTTCCTCTGGCAATACCACAGAAGAAACAAAGAAAAAGGGCTGGGCTGATATGGTGGATGACTACTCTGATCTGGCTGCGGCGTACGGCCTCGGTTCAAATTTAAATGACAGCACAGTGGATAAAGGGGATATGGCTGGGGCTTTGTCATCATCCATAAGCCATCCATTGACTGTTCAAACAAGCTCTGCCAGCCAAATGGGCATGAATCTACCAGTAACTGCAAACTCTGGGGTAGGATATATATCTGTACCACAATTGTATGGTCATTCAAATTCCACCGCATCAGCTTTATTTCCCAGTCCTGTTCAGCTACAGCCGCCACCACAGCAGCTTCTGACCACTGCTCAGAATCAATTATTAAGTGCTTTACAAGCCCCTCCTGCTATCTACAATCCAAAGATACCTAATTCAACTGTAATTCCGAGGGATGGTGAACCGAAGAGCTGAATTGGCTCAAGCAACATTTCAGCAGGGTAGTGGAGGGATTGGACAGGGACAGCTGTTGTTTGGTAACCAAGTGATATCACCTCCACAAATGACACAGTCATTACAAAGACCACCACCACCCCCTCCACCTCCACCACCACCACAGCCGCAACCACTTAAAGTACTCCAGCAAGGGAATAACATCATCATACCTATGACACAGATCAATCCAAATCAGTCTGTTGTTGTGAAACACGGTAACACTAATATTACTATCATGAACGGTGACATAGTCATTCAGAATATTTCCGGCCCTAACACTAAGGGGTCTGTCATCATCCAAACTCGAGAGAAACTGGACTCGTCTGCTCCTCAAAAAAGTAAAATCTCGAAACCCTTGTACACGCAGCATGTTGTTGTACCAAAACCAGGGGCTGCTGTCACTGCCTACATGCCTCAGTCAACCGTGCAGTCCCAACCTCTAACAGGGGCTGCAGTCACTACCTACATGCCTCAGTCAACCGTGCAGTCCCAACCTCTAACAGGGACTGCAGTCACTGCCTACATGCCTCAGTCAACTGTGCAGTCCCAGCCTCAACCTCAAGCGCAAAACTATGTGAGTCCACCAGTGGCAAATGTTATACAGCCGGCTGGCCCACTAATAATTCAACCCAAACCTAAACCAGCAAGTCAGCAGCCCAAGCAGTATCAACCACAACAGTATCAGCCACAGCAGAATGTTTCAACCACATCCGGTGGTGTTATGAGTAAAGGTGTTCTCAGTAATGGCGTGCTTAATTTCCCACCTGCAATACAACAATCAAATAACAAAAACACAACCGCCACACAAAACCTGGTTCAAATGATGAAATCGCTTCAGTCTACTTCTGTGGCTAATTCTATTTCATTCGGACAAGAGAATCAAGCATCTGGGACTGCTGGGTCAAGCAGTGTTGATCCTATTCCAAAACATTCAGAAAGCCAGTCAACTTCTGATAATAAAACTACCACTTCGATGCCCATAATCTCCAAGAACACACCAAACGATACGACTGAAAACACTGTAACAAATCCAAGTGACACAAATCCAACATCAGGACTTCCCGAAAAGAAAAAAATCTCATCAATTATTTATAAATGCAGCAAGTGCTGCAGATTGTTCTCAACCGAAACATCATATGAATTCCATGTGGAGTCATGCAGGGTCTCAAAAGCACTAACTAACATAGTAAAGCCTCATGCATGCAGTTGGTGCAATGAAAAATTTGAGTTCAAATCCTCTATGATATTACATGAGCAGAGAATCTGTGCCGAAAAAGTTACAGGTCATGCACGAACAGTTGTTGAGACACGAGATCCTACTGCCTGTAAGACTGCGCCCAACCCAAGTGAATGTACTCGTTGTTTGTTATTGTTCCCGTCGGTGAAAGATTTAGAAGAACATTGTAAAAATGTACATGATGTGCCTGTTAGTACAGCAAGTAGTAAAGCTGTCTCTAGCCCGGCTAAAAAAACTATAGAACCAGTGGTTACTAAGCCAGTGGGGAAAAAATACAAATGTTATAACTGCACCAAACAATTTGCTTACTACAGTGCTTTAAGGACACATACAATAGAGTGCAAGTCTATGTCCAGACTCGCTATAGCTATAAAGAAAAAAAATGTACAGAAGAAACAAACAAAGAAACGAGACATGAAGAAAATAAAAAAGAAAAAGGGCGGAATGCCTCGTGTTCTCAGAGAAGTAACGTACGATACAAAAACAGTATTAGCCAAATATGGAAAACTTGACCCAAAGAAGAAGGGAAGGCCACATATATGCGTAACGTGTGACAAAAATTTTGGTTCGGAACATTGTCTCTTTGAACATATTAAAAGTCATTTGAAACCGTTTAGTTGTTCTGTTTGCGGTTGGCGCAATGCTAAGAAATGATAATGTTGCTCGACA